TAGGTGCAACCAAGTAGTCATTCAGATTTATTCAAAATTTTAAAACATGCATCTTTCTTATTAGAGTTTCCTTTCTCTGTCCAAATAATTTTCAACTTTCAGGTTCAGCACACTCATATGACAGATACTGCAGCTGCAGACTGTGCTACTGTGGATTTTATTGTGAACACCCTACACCGGATTTTCCCTTCTTTTGATTACAGGTAGTTCTGCCAAAGCTTTCATACCTGTTAATTGTCTTGACTAGTTTCTTATTAATGAAAATGCTACCATGTTCGACTTGCTGACAAAGCATAGATCTTGCTTACATGCTTAGAAATGAAAGATTTTGTGGTAATTGTTGCTGTTTTTTAATTCCTACTTTCATGAACAGGTGGTTGATTGATGAGATGCGTGAAAGTTTACCAAAGGCAAGTTGCTTAAATATCTCTCACCCTTGATTGGATTCTTTGTAAACTTGTAGAAATTTGTCCACATTATATGTCTATTAGTCTAAAATGTTTATATGTTCATAAGTTTCTGTTGGCACAAAACGTATTTTCTTAATATGCCAGTGATAGAGAACATGTGGACTTTGGACCTCATCTTAACCAAGAAGTTGTTCTCTATCACTACAAATATGTGTTACCTAGTATTTTCTGTAGCTTTCTTGACATTTGATCATATGTGATTGTGGCAATCAGGAACTAGATTTCATAAACGAGGCCAAGAACAGTGAGAAATGCTTGGAAAACTTTCAGAAGCTTTCTCCTCATATTGCAGCTTATGTATATGCACCAAAGGTGTATTGGAATCTAAGTACCTCAAAGTTGTTAACCATGGAATTTATGGACGGCGCACAAGTAAATGATGTGAAGACCATTAAAAGACTTGGAATTCGACCTGATGAAGTTGCAAGATTAGTAAGTCCATGAGCTTCATGTCAAATTCTGACAATCTATATTTAGACAATCATGTTTTCTAAAAATTTGTTTGGTTTCATTCAGAATTACATTTGCTTCTTAAAGATCCCTTTCATCATCAGTTGACTACAGCAGTAGATTATATAATAGTGCAAATTGATTTGACTGTGCAAAATGAATTAAGGTATTAGGACATTGGAACCACAACGTTGGGTCTATGAGTTTCTTTTCTTTTATCTTTTTTCCTTTTGCTCAAATCCTCGGGTCTACTGTTGAAGTTTGAAGCTAAATAGATAGACCCTCAGTAAAGGCTGGTTTTGGACTCTTGTGCCCCCTTTATGTTTTCATTGTATGTGCTTCAATTTCCTTGTGAGGATATATTCTGACCAAGTTGTGCAAGAAAAGAAACTAAGAATTGATGTACTTCATGCAGGTTAGTGAAACTTTTGCAGAAATGATGTTCAAACACGGGTTTGTGCATTGTGACCCACATGCTGCCAACTTGTTAGTCCGTCCTCTGCCTTATAGTGGAAAGAGCATTCTAGGTGAGACTCTCCTGCATTGTTGAGGTTATCATTTGAGAATTTTTATAGTAATGTGATTTTAGTTTTGCTTTTTAGTAACCACAACCGAAAGTAAACCGTAGCCTGGCTTTTATACAATTATAATACCCACTGCGCTTTTCTGAGAGCAAGTTGGCATATCATCTTTCATGATATCTTTATCGTGCTAAGCATCTGAATCACGAGGATGACTACAATACTGCTGAAAAAACTTGTTTGGTAGTATTTGTGTGTTTTCAATCATATTTGGGTTTCCAAAACTTACGTGATAGTGATAGTTTGTCATAAGTAGATGCACTTTGTGGTCATAAGTATGAAGCATAATATAGCCAGGTCATCAGTAGTTGAAAATTCATGTCTCTATGTTCTCTAAACCCTGAGAAATATTATTTCAGAAGTTCATGTAGAATCGGATGTTGTTGACTTGACTGTGAAGTGTATTACATCTCTGTTTTACTCATACAGTTGGTGGATATTATGCCCATTGAGCTTTTTTTTATTATTTGGAACATTATGTAGACCATGCCCAACTCAAATAGTTTTTCCTCACCTTCTCATGTACAGGCAAGAAAAAACCACAGTTGGTACTTCTAGACCATGGTCTGTATAAAGAGCTTGACTTTGAGACCAGAACTAACTATGCTAAACTGTGGAAGGTACACCGTTTTTTTTCTTGGAATAGTTTTCTTCCATATTGTAGCAACTTACTTTGCTGTGTTCTCTATGTTGTTATGATTGTTGCAGGCTTTGATTTTTGCTGATGCCAATGCAATAAAAGAAAATAGTGCAAAATTAGGTGCTGGAAAGGATTTGTATGCATTATTTGCAGGGATTCTTACTATGAGGCCTTGGAATAGGGTCATTGACCCAGCTGTTGATCATTTGGTTATACAGGGCAGCGAAAGTGACCGTTCAGAACTGCAGGTGAGCTCTTGCAATGGGTTCAGTGCTTTCACGATGTTTGTAATTTTTGGGACCCGAGTTATATGCTGTTACAATGTTGCTGATTCAGTTCTAGCCTCAGTGAGGAGCCTTGTACTCCTCGCAATTAAAACTGTTGTTGATGTGGATGGTATTTAAATGATAGTTTATCACTCTCACCTGTTTAAACGTACCTTAATGTTTTGTCTGCCAGATGTATGCTTCTCAGTATTTCTCTCAAATCTCAGAGCTTTTGAGGAGGCTGCCACGCGTGATTCTTTTAATGCTGAAGACAAATGATTGTTTACGATCAGTTAGCAATGCTCTGGTATTACTTTGTTATTACCTTTTTAGTGCTGTTACTCTTGAAAACCTGATTATAGTAAGATAAGCTTGTTTTTCAACTTGCTGTTGTGAGTGCATGTAGCCTTTTTTGCTGTCTACCTAAGATGTATGTCAAATGTCCTGACAATGCGTGAGTGGTTGGAATAGAGCATGTATCTGGCTTGATACCCCAATGATTTATGTGCCCCATTTTGTAGCTGCAGAGTTTAACTATATGGCTTTCTAAAGTTGTATCAAATTTTGTCACATCCTGTGAGTCGGATTTCAGTCAATAAGGGTTTTTATTGTCTCCATAGTTTGAGCTGTCTTCTACTTTTAATTTTTGACTTTTGACCTTGAACCTGAAATGCTTCTCAAACAGTTGCAGGTACCTTCTCTTGAGACATTCATGATCATTGGAAGGGTTTCCTCTGAAGCAGTCATTGAGGCAAAGCTATCACAAAAGAGATCCTTCCTGCATTGGTTGAGTGCTTGGTTAGACAAAATTCTGTTGGAAGCTCGACTTTTTACAATGCAAGTAGCCTTGTGGCTTCTACAAGGCAGGAAATCTTTGTCTTGGAGAAACTGAAAAAGTACTGCGCAAACTCAATTTCTATAACTCACAAACTAAGGAAACTATAATTATTTCTTTGTTCGTCACCCAAAAATGGGCACACACATTCTTTGTCTCCATAGATCAAGCCTCTCCATTACACACAGGGTCTCCGATCATGGATTGATAGACCATTTTTTCAAGGCATCGGAAGGAATAAATGAAATGTTTTGTATCATTTTTCTTTTATGTATAATAACTCTCAATGTTCTCTGGATCTGATCAATTTTATAGAACCCCCATCAAGGGAGAACTGTATGGACACTGCATCAGAGATATTAGTTATGTGCTTATACGCACAAGAGAACTTTTAGACTTTTTTTTTTTTTTATATGAGTTATATCATAACCTCTTCCTCTGGTCATCGAAAATCACACATGCATTGGGTATGCTATGCGCCATGTGCCCCCGTAGCAAAAGGGTTTGTTTGGTTGCAGAATCAGGTAAACCTTTCCTTATTCAGAGCAAGAATAGAATAGCTGGGAACACATGGCATACATGTCTCTTCTGGTGGTGGTTGGCTTATTAATTCCGGTAGGCTTTATTGTCCCTTTCCGATGGTTGTCCAATCGACTAAACTATTGTCTACTTCTACTTTTGTTTGCTGATAAATTCTTGGTTGGGTGTGTATAATTATGGTACATTTTGGATAGTGAACTTTAACGACAAAAGCTGCAAACTTTGCTTCACCCTTCCATGGAATTATATCACCCTCCAAAGAAAACTTAAGGAGAAAGGGACACACTAAACACCTTCATGGGTTCATGTTATACTTGTCCAATTCGAACCCCGATTGCATTCCATCTAACTTTTACCTAGCAGTGAAAAAAATGAAAGGCTTTATCTGACGGTGGGTATTGAAAGCCAATGAATGATCAAATCTTTGTTCATTCATAGGCTGGTTGATAGTTGGTACGTGAATATAAACAAGTCCCCATCAAAAACAGATTTTATATATATAAAAAAAAAAAGGTACCAAAAAAAAACACAAGTCATAAGGGACATTAAATGTGAATGGGTAGTTGGTCAGCGAAGTTTGGTGACCTATTTAGTATTTACCAGCTTTCACCTTCTCCATACCTACGCCCTTTCTATCTCTAACTTTATTTTATTTTGTTCCCAAGGGTCAAGGTATTTGATTTAGGATACTGTTTGCCTCTTTTCCTATAAGGATACTCCTTATTGTAAATAATAGTTTGACATATATGCTATGCAAAAATAATTCATAAAAAACACACACATAATTCAAAAATAATAGTTTGACATATATACATATGTCACACTACTATTAGCAGGAATGTAGAAATTTCTATTACTTACATGATAAGGGGGGAAGTATTTTTCTTTGGTTTAAGTTGATTGGCAAGAGGCCACATCTCAAGTGTTGGCTTTATAAAATAATAAAATAATTATGCTTTTTGTGGATTTCCATTGGCTGATTGCTTAGGGTGTGATTTCATGTAGTCCTATCAACGATTCTTCGACGGTTAAATTAGTGGAAGTTTGAAAAGTTGCCTACCTTTTGCAATGTGAGGGAAGAATATTAACTCCTAACTCCCACTGTGAATTAAAATATTATTTTATTTTATAATGTTTAATTTGTTTCAGGTCAATGGCCAACCATAATACCAAAACTGTACGTCATATTATCATGGCAATGTGCCAATGTCACTCCTTTTATATAACCACAAACGGAAAGAAAAGAAAAGAAAAGAATATTAGGAGCTCCCACACCCAGGTGCAGGTGGTAGTGGTACTGTTCATCCTAACATTCTCCTCCATCCAGCCCAGTGATTCAACCGCTTAGCTTACACGGCTCGTCCTTTTAGAGAGACTGAGAGAGATGGTAGGACCGGCGAGGCCTCTGTTTGTTCTGTTCGGATCCTCCATAGTCCAGATGAGCTACGACCACGGCGGTTGGGGTGCCATTCTCTCTGACATCTACTCTCGTCGAGTTCTGTCTCTACCCCTGTTTTTTCTCACTTGGGTCGTTAATGTTGCTTTCAAGTTTCGATTTTTCCCTGTCAAACTTCAAACCCAGCTATCAAATTTCTCATCTTTAAAGGCTCTTTCTTATATGGTTCACTTGGTTTTCAGAATCTCATTCTAAATTTTAATTGTTTCATCCCATCTTGTTGGGTTTTTTATTTGTTTCAGGCAGACATATTGTTGCGTGGTTACTTTGGTTGGAATTCACGGCGAGCTGTAGAGGTCCTAGATCAAGTTTTCCCCAAGGTATTATGCTTTCATTAGCTGCAATAATATTCTTTTCACTATGTGCTTGATTAAGTTTCTTTATAATATAATTATTGTAAGTATTAGAATATCACAGACAATAATTGTAATGGTAGCATCTTTGGAGAACAATGGTAAACAAATAAAATCTTTGTCAAAGTGAAACACGAGATGGGTTGTGTTGTGTTGGATCGAAAGATTAATTCACCAACATTAAGTATTATGCATCTATGGTGTCTGGTCATGTTTCTTCTGATTATAATGTTTTATAAGAATTTAACATGTGCAAACTAGATTGTTTGTCCGGTCACATTTTTGTTTTGTTTTTCGGTCAACGGTAAATCGCATCCTTTTGTGTATTATAAGATTGCAAACTTAGATTTTTCTTTGTTTAGGCTATTTCTTTTCTAGTCAATTATTTAGGCTTCAATAATGTACACAGCGTGCTCTGACTCGACTGATGCATTTGTGTTCTTATTCTAGGATGCTGCTGTGCAACCTTCTTTGGTGATTGTATATTTTGGCGGTAATGATTCTATGGGGCCTCATTCATCTGGCCTAGGCCCTCATGTACCACTTCCTGAATACATTGACAACATGAGAAAGATTGCAAGTCATGTGAAGGTACTTTTTTTCACAATCAAAATAATTCAGTGTTTCCGTTAATTAGAGCTATAGATTCCTGAAAGGGATGACTCTTGAACTTTTGAAGATGAATTTGATTCATTATCAAGAATAATGGAAAACACATGTTTTCATATGTAGTTGCAATAATTCGATTCTGGTTTTGTTGCAACTGTAGGGCCATCCTGAAATGAGAGTATCCTGCTCGCATATCTAACTGAGAATAATTTAATGCATTCTAACACATATATATTTGAAAGCAGAGCCTTTCAGCCTCAACACGGGCCATTTTTCTTAGTTGTCCTCCTGTGAATGAGGCGATAATTCGTGGAAATACAAGGTGCTCGGATGCCACTCTTGTAATTACAGTTTATCTTTGCATATGTCTATGACACAATTCCCATTGTAAATCTTGTTTTTCCTCTTTGAAAACAGCGGGATTTTCAGCGAGATAGTAAGAACAAACGAGTTATGCCAACAGTATTCGGAAGCTTGTATAAAGCTGTGCCAGGAAATGGATATCAAGGTTGTTGATCTTTTTACTGCATTTCAGAAAACAGATGACTGGTTGAACGCTTGTTTTACGTAAGTTAACTTGGCCATATTGCTCTCACATTTTTGCTAATACGCTCAACTTTGACATTTGTATTATATAGCTTTTACATCATCAATTGCCCTGCCTAATACTTTAGTTTTTTCATATACATTATATCTTTGTTTCCTCACACACCCTGTGTTGCTAGTGGGGTTTTACTAAAGCGGTAATTTATTCCTGGAGTGATGATTATACTGATAATTAGCCATAATCTATATGGTTGATTGCCATTACACCTACAGATCGCAGGCGTCTGGCTACAGGTGTGCCTATCTGGCACATAATCAAACCCTTTTAAGCAGACTTGTGACCCTTCTTTGATTCAGTTGTGAAGAATGTTTGTTTTTCAGTCAATAGCTCATACAATATTATTTGATCCATCTATTTGAGGGAAAAAATGTTTAATGTCCTCTCTCCAGAGAGAAGGCTTCATTCCTCCATCCGTTGTGGGTAACTTTCAGATGATCTTAGGCATAGGATTTGAAGCAATGTGAAGTAGGGATGAAATCTATTGACTGCTGTTAAGATATCTCTTTGAAGGTGTCATTATGGACGTTTATACTGAACTAAATCTATCAGTTATTGTTTCATGTAGTTTGAATTAGTATCTTATTTCCCGGCATAAAGAAACTTGATCTTGCTTATCTTTTCCAGAGATGGGATTCATTTATCTGCTGAAGGGAGCAAAATAGTGGTGGAAGAGATACTGAAGGTACTGAGGGAAGCTGACTGGAAGCCAAGCTTACACTGGAAATCCATGCCGTTAGAATTTGCAGAGGATTCACCATATGATCTTGTTGCTGCTGATGGAAAGACAACATTAAATCCCTCCAGCTGGACTTTTTATAGGGAGATTCAGTGGGACTAGTTTGGAGAGTCAATGTTCCACCTGTGCTTGAATAGAAGATTGAAGTATCTATTGTTGCATGGAACGCTAAAACTAATGAAAGAGCCAAAACAAAAAGGAAGAAAAAAAGAGAGTGGATTTTGTGAAAGGTCCATGAATTTTATTTATTATTTTCATTTCGCAATTGTTTCTAGTAGCCTCAATGTTAGCTAAAATTTAGTAAACGACTTCATTTGTAAACTTTGGGCTTTCTCCATCGTTTAACACATTGATAATGGTACCAGTGCTACTGGAGAATCGTAATTTCCATAATTCGATTCTTTCTTCTTTCTTTTTTTTTCCAGTTTTTGATGGTTTCTGACTTTAGTGTTCCAAAGTGGTAGGCCACTCCATGAATGCGTTTTTGAATCTAATTTTCCATGTCCTAAAAAAAGTCTTGTTGGTATTTACTCTTTTTAACCCCCAACAAAAAAATAACTCTCCTCCCTAGTTTCTTCTAGGTTTATACATGGGAGAGGGAAAGAGACAACTCACAACTACTACTCAATCACACTCAAATACATAAAGAAGGAAGTATATATATTTTTTACGATTTTAATGCTTCAGAAATTTTGATTGTCATGAATTCGAATATATTAAAACAATATAGCTGAATACATTTTAAAAGTTGAAGAAATAACTCTAGCCCAATTGGCTAATAGTCGAAAATTAGAATGTGACGTATCGGCTATTCCCCAATATCGCTTGTATAAATAAAATAATTGAAGAAATAACTCTAGCCTAATGGGCTAAAGTGGCATTTTAGTGTTAAACCCTACAATAATCTGACAAAATTGTCACGTTAAAATTTATAGAACAAAGAAAAATTCCGAAAAATGATACACTTTTGAATTTTAAATAGTACAGCCGGACGACAATACTGTTTAAACATTCAAACGTATTTAAAAAGTATAGACGTATTTAAATGTATGCAAATATTTAAATGGTATTGCCACGCGGCTATACTATTGTAATATATTTGAAATATTTAGATAGTATAGTTGCGTGTATATACGCTTTAAATAGTATAGCCGCACGGCTATATTTATATATGAATATTTAAATCGTATAGCCGCGCAACTATACCCTTTAAATATATTCGAATATTTAAATAGTATAGCCGTGCGGCTATATGCTTTAAATACATTTTAAATAGCTTTAAATACATTCTAATATTTAAATAGTATAGCCGAGCAGCTATATATTTAAATCGTATAGCCGAGCAGCTATATATTTAAATCGTATAGCCAAGCAGCTATATATTTAAATCGTATAGCCGAGCGGCTATACTCTTTAAATTTAAACGAATATTTACATAGTATTGCCGCGCTGCTATACTATCAAATCACGAAATTGTTCTGAAATTGTTCCAAAACCTTTCTTAAGCCTTGAACTCTAACCATAAGCCTACTAAGGAGTAGATAGTTTCTCTTCTCTTCGAACCCCAACAAACAGTTGATATTATCGAATCATGTTGTGACTTGAATTTAATTTTCGAGGCTAAAATCCATTTTTGGAATACTAAAATATTTTGGGTGCTAAAACTAAATTTCTAGGATTTTTATTAAAATATTTAATACTAATTATTCACTAAAGAAATAATATTTAAAACATAATCACTAATGAAAGTATTTAGACAAGGCTAAGATATTATTTAATGAATAAAAAAGAAATTTTTTAAAAGGATAATTTCAAGAGTATCGCCGCGCGGCTGTACTCTTTAAATAGAATTTTAAAAGTATAGCCGCACGGCTGTACTATTTAAATAGAATATTTTAAAGGGAGCTTCACTAATATACACAAAATTGGGGTTGAAATTATAAAAAAAAACCCATATGGAAAACACTTCATAAACACACCCAAAACCCATTTATTAAATAACAAATTAGTGTTGAAGTTTCAATAAATTACAAGCACTGTCACTATCAAGCCCAACAGAAAAAAAAACTCAAAAAGCACCCCAGCCCAAATTTATAAAAAAGCCCAAAGATTTTACCATCTCGAAAACCGTAATTTCGTTCAAAAAAATGGAAAACAAAACCATAACTTCCAGCCCGCGACTTCAATTAACCATCTCTGCCAAACGTCCCTTCAGTCACCGTCTTCATCAAAGCGTCTTCTTCATCTCTCGAAACCGAAACTCCATAACCACCACCAAGCTTGATCTACTTTCAAAAACAAACACCACACTGACCTCCACCTACAAAACCAAGACAAAATTTCAGAGAACAATTTCAACAAGAAAACGCTTCAAAGGTCAGACATTTACAAACCAAACCTATACTCTAATTTTGATTAATTGCTATAGAGTTCCAGTCTAGGGTAATAACAGTATTTTAGATTCGAATCAAGGACAAAATCTTGAAACTATATTGGATTTCACTATTGCACTGATTGCTTACTATCAGTATTTTATTCGCTAGTTTACCGTCATTCTGATTAATGGTTGTAAAGTTCCAATATAGGGTAATAACACTACTTGTTTCCTCTGAAAATCCTATTTCTGATGCATGTCTACCACTGTAAAGTTCCAGTATAGGGTATTAATACTGCTGGTTTCCTTTGAAATCCTATTTCTGATGAATGTCTACCACTGTATAGTTCCAGCATGTGGTACTAACACCGATTGTTTCCTCTGAAATCCTATTTCTGATGAATGTCTACCACTGTAAAGTTCCAGTATAGGGTATTAACACTGATTTAAATATTTGATGAAATAAAAATAATAATTACCATTCATTAAGTTAATTAAAGTATTTCATTATTCACTCGAGAAATAATAATTAAATAAGTCTAAGATATTATTTAATTACTGAGAAGAAAATTTATTGGACCTAAAAGATACTAAATTTATATTTATTTTTGAATAACATCTCTCCCGACGAAATTTCGTCGGCAAAGGTATAAGACTTGCCCCGACGAAAATACCTCTCCCGACGAAATTTCTTCAGGAAAAGTCTAATCCGACGACCTTTCGTCGGGATAGACCTTTGCCGACGAAATTTCGTCGGGAAAGGTCTTATGGCCTTTTTAAAAACAAAAACCTAAACAAAAAATTATTATTGTCATTATTTTAATTTTAAACATGTAAAATTAGTTTCTTTACTTTCATTTTTGGGCCAACTTCTTTGGTTTAATATATGTAATTAAGTAATATCATAGCCTTTTTTTTAATTACTTTAATTGGTAATTGTGTTTAATTATTATTTCTTTAGTGAATATTTAAATATTTTACTTAATGAATAGCTATTAATTCTTTTATATATATTTCTTTTTGTGGACTTTGTTTTAAATTTTTGTTTTCACAAAATTAGTTTGTGTAAATCCAAGTCTTGAACCAAAAACCCTAGCTTCCGAAATTGTTCCCAAACCTTTTTCGAGGCTAAAATCCATTCTTGGAATGCTAAAATATTTTGGGTACTAAAACTAAATTTCTAGGATTTTTATTAGAATATTCAATGCTAATTATTCACTAAAGAAATAATAATTAAAACATAATCACTAATGAAAGTATTTAGACAAGGCTAAGATATTATTTATTGAGTAAAAAAGAAAATTTTAAAGAGTATAGCCGCCCGGCTATACCCGTTGAATAGCATAATCTTGATTTCTCTTTTTTAATTACTCTATTTAGTAGTTACGTTTTAATTACTATTTACTTAGTGAATAATTTGTATTTAAATATTTGATGAAATAAAAATAATAATTACCGTTCATTAAGTTAATTAAAGTATTTCATTATTCACTCGAGAAATAATAATTAAATAAGTCTAAGATATTATTTAATTACTGAGAAGAAAATTTATTGGACCTAAAAGATACTAAATTTATATTTATTTTTGAATAACATCTCTCCCGACGAAATTTCGTCGGCAAAGGTATAAGACTTGCCCCGACGAAAATACCTCTCCCGACGAAATTTCTTCAGGAAAAGTCTAATCCGACGACCTTTCGTCGGGATAGACCTTTGCCGACGAAATTTCGTCGGGAAAGGTCTTATGGCCTTTTTAAAAACAAAAACCTAAACAAAAAATTATTATTGTCATTATTTTAATTTTAAACATGTAAAATTAGTTTCTTTACTTTCATTTTTGGGCCAACTTCTTTGGTTTAATATATGTAATTAAGTAATATCATAGCCTTTTTTTTAATTACTTTAATTGGTAATTGTGTTTAATTATTATTTCTTTAGTGAATATTTAAATATTTTACTTAATGAATAGCTATTAATTCTTTTATATATATTTCTTTTTGTGGACTTTGTTTTAAATTTTTGTTTTCACAAAATTAGTTTGTGTAAATCCAAGTCTTGAACCAAAAACCCTAGCTTCCGAAATTGTTCCCAAACCTTTTTCGAGGCTAAAATCCATTCTTGGAATGCTAAAATATTTTGGGTACTAAAACTAAATTTCTAGGATTTTTATTAGAATATTCAATGCTAATTATTCACTAAAGAAATAATAATTAAAACATAATCACTAATGAAAGTATTTAGACAAGGCTAAGATATTATTTATTGAGTAAAAAAGAAAATTTTAAAGAGTATAGCCGCCCGGCTATACCCGTTGAATAGCATAATCTTGATTTCTCTTTTTTAATTACTCTATTTAGTAGTTACGTTTTAATTACTATTTACTTAGTGAATAATTTGTATTTAAATATTTGATGAAATAAAAATAATAATTACCGTTCATTAAGTTAATTAAAGTATTTCATTATTCACTCGAGAAATAATAATTAAATAAGTCTAAGATATTATTTAATTACTGAGAAGAAAATTTATTGGACCTAAAAGATACTAAATTTATATTTATTTTTGAATAACATCTCTCCCGACGAAATTTCGTCGGCAAAGGTATAAGACTTGCCCCGACGAAAATACCTCTCCCGACGAAATTTCTTCAGGAAAAGTCTAATCCGACGACCTTTCGTCGGGATAGACCTTTGCCGACGAAATTTCGTCGGGAAAGGTCTTATGGCCTTTTTAAAAACAAAAACCTAAACAAAAAATTATTATTGTCATTATTTTAATTTTAAACATGTAAAATTAGTTTCTTTACTTTCATTTTTGGGCCAACTTCTTTGGTTTAATATATGTAATTAAGTAAT